GTCAGAGTTGGGGAAGTACGTGGGGGTGGGGGGGGGCAAATCTTGTGACAAGAAGAATCTGAGCTGAACTTTCCTGGGGAAATGCTGCCAGCTCCAGCTCCAGCTCCAGCTCCAGCTCCAGCTCCTCCCAACTGCCAGGAGTGAGGCAGGACGGTGCGAGCACGTCCGCACAGCCCACTGGCAGGAGAGCCCTGCCGTGCGACCGAGGCCAGTGGGCGAGGGAAAGCCTGTCGCAGCTACTTACAACCTGAGGTGGGCAAATGCTTCCCAGGGATGCAGTCCTGCCCCCGGCACATGGATCGTTTGCAGATACTCCTCCAACTCCCCCCAGCCCAGGCGCAGCGGACGAGCAGGAGAATCGGTGCCCGCTGCACTGAAACCTTCCACTGCCCTGCAAGGCCCTTTGCACGGCCCAGAGAAGAGCTAGGACCAGCCTGGGGCGCAGCTCCGGGTAAATCACACTGGCTAACGAGCACCTCCGGGGGGGCAGCCTGCGCCCTGCTTGCAGATGACAGCGCAGGGAGGGGGAGGCTGGGAGCGCGACCGTTAGCTATCCTGGGGCAGGCAAGGAATGCCTTTCAGCTTCCGTCACCCGGATCATCTTGCTAAGCCACAGGGAGCTCACGTCTGGCAGCGGAGGCGCCGGCCGAACTGGGCGGCACTAAAACAGGGAAGGGCTCCAGCAGAACCAGACCCTGACCTCAAAGGTCACGGGCGATGGGGAGGGTGGCGCTAGAGGAACAAGCTACTGATTTACCTGCTGCCGTGTGCGCCAGGTTTGCATGTTACTGCCCAGCGGCCATGGCGGGGGAGGGGCAAGCTCACGTCTGGCAGCGGAGGCGCCGGCCGAACTGGGCGGCACTAAAACAGGGAAGGGCTCCAGCAGAACCAGACCCTGACCTCAAAGGTCACGGGCGATGGGGAGGGTGGCGCTAGAGGAACAAGCTACTGATTTACCTGCTGCCGTGTGCGCCAGGTTTGCATGTTACTGCCCAGCGGCCATGGCGGGGGAGGGGCAGGGCTTCCGTCGTTCAAGCCCTCAGCAGCCCCACGTGGCTTTGCCCCTCCAGGCCAGGGAGCCCAGCAGATAAGGCAGGGAGAGGGGAGGGGAGGAGCAGACCCCGCTTCTCGTCTCAGCACAACCTGCCTTTCCAGTCCCGTGGTGACAGCAAAGCAGTGCTCCACGAACAGCAGGCGCAGGCGCAGGACAGGATGCCCCCCCGCCTCACCCCTCCCTCAGGGAGAAGAGTCCTGCCAGCAAGGCTGGTCCTGGCTCCCCAGCTCCCGTCGCTCCAGCCCCTGCTAGCCAGGGATGTTAACAGGTTCATCGGGAAGCACAGCGCTAAGCATGAGACTTGCCAGTTCCCCGGCCCTTGCCGCCACGCGTCGGAGCAGGCTGGGACCCCATGGCCTCGGTAAAACGGGTAAGCAGTGTCGTTTACCGTCCCTGCTATCATCCCAGCAGTCCTGGACTGCCAGCTTGGCTGGGGGGCACTAGGGGCCAGCTGATTGCCGAAGAGCCTGGACGGGTTCGGAGGGATTTCTTGGGAGGGAGGACAGCTGAGGAACCTCATTCCGCATGGCCAGCTGGTCCTTCCCTCCCCAGGACGAGCTGGGGCATCACACTTGCTGCCAGGGTCTCTCTAGGCCCCACTGCCTGGTTCCAATGATCGCTGGCAATCTACTGTGGAGGGGAAAAGGGAAAACTCTGCCCTCCCACGAAGGGTTTCAAACCAGCCTCAGGAGGGGAGCAAATCTCTCCCATATTGGGGGGCGGAGGCCCGGGGCAGCCAGGGCGTTACCCAGGAACACAGCAGGTCTGTAGCAGGGCCGGTCTCGCTGTGTTCTGCACACAAAGAAGCTGAAATGGGATGTGGCCCTTACCTTTCGTCCCAGGGGGCTGCAAGTTGTCTCCTGTCAGTGAGCACCAGCCGACAGGAAAGACGTCCCTGGAGTCATAGCGACACCAGTAATCGAAGGCACCTCTCCAGCCATCGAATGTCACAAGGACCTCGGAGCCTCTCACCTCCCCAATGGTGGCCGGGCAGATGAAGTGTGGGTTCTTCCTGTCCACTGCCTCCAGCTTCATGCCTGTCTTGAAGAAGTTCTGGGATGGAGACGGCGGCTCCTGCAAGGGAGGGGTCAGGAAGCTCGTTTCGAGAGAGCTCGTGTGTGCCGCTGTCTGGGGGCGTGGCTAATCCCTGCCTGCACCGCCACGAGAGCAGGCCACGTGGAGCCGCAGTTCAGCCCCTTCGGTGGCTCCAGCTTATCCCAGGGTCGGAGTCGGCCCCGGTGCAAAACGTGCACCTCCAGGAGCACCGGCTGAAGCGGCTGACAGAGAGCGGCTCCCCTGACAAGTGCTCGTCTGCCTCGATTTCCCCTGCAGGCCTCCTGTTTAAACGCAGCGCTCTGAGCCCCCAGCACAGCCCCCACCCCCGCGCAGAGGGCCCTCCACGCCCCGCTCAGCAGCCTGCCTGCTTCTCTGAGGCCACAGCTCGCCCCTGCTCAGCCTCCGCCAGCATGGCCGCTCCCAGGAGCGTTCCCTGCTCTTCCCCGGGGACCCCCCGGCATCCCTCGCTGCCAGGTCCTTTCCCGGCTCCGGCAGGCAGACACCCTGCACCCTGCCTTTGGTCCCTCCCTCTTCCCCCTTCAGCTCTCTGGCTTGGGGTCACCAGCAAACCTCCCCTGCTGCTCACCTTGTCTTCAGCCTTCTCGCCAGGGCCCCCTGCACCGCCCTGGCAGCTCTCACTGGCTCCCACTAAGGCAGCTCTGATTCACCAGGGCTCCCCACTGGCCAAAGCCAACCAGCTCCAG